AAAAAAAAAAAAAAAAGCCACTTCTTCAGGGAAAAGTAATACATTCACTTATTGTTTTCTAAAGTAGGCTCCATGCAGCGCCTGCGTGGCTCAGTCAGTTACGTGTCCGACTTCAGCTCATGATCTCGCAATCCATGAGTTCAAGCCCTGCATCAGGCTCTGTGCCGACAGCTCAGAGCCTGGCACCTGCTTCCGATTCTGTGTCTCCCTCTCTCTCTGCCCCTCCCCCACTAGCGCACGCTCTCTCTCTCTCTCTCTCTCTCTCTCAAAAATAAACATTAAAAAAAAAAAAATTTAAAGTAGGCTCCATGCTCAACGTGGGGCTCGAACTCATGACCCTACTCACGACCCGGAGATCAAGAGGTGCAGGCTCTACCGACTGAGACAGCCCGGAGCCCCTGCACTTCTGTTTTAAAAACAAAACTGAGACGACCTGTGGCAGGGACTGCAGGTGTCCCCAGGTTTCATCCTCCCATCTTCCTATAACTGGAGAATGTATACACATTTCATCTGGGCACATGGCTGCCAGTTAGACTACACCCGACAGCCTAACATTGCCACGGACTGAATTCTGGCCAGCGGACAGGACTGTCTCTCCGGATCAGCCCTTCCAAGAAAGGAGTGACGGAGGTGCCTGGTGCCTGCGTGGCTCAGTCTGTTACGCGTCCAACTCTGGCTCAGGTCATGACCTCGCAGTTCAGGAGTTCCAGCCCCGTGTCGGGCTCTGTGCTCTCAGTGCAGAGCCAGCTTTGGATCATCCGTATCCCTCTCTCTCTGCTCCTCCCCTTCCCGTCCCCCTCCCATCCCCCTCCCTCAAAAATAAATGATCAAAAATAAACTAACATTGAAAAATAAAATAGAGGCACTTGGGCGGCTCAGTCAGTTAAGCGTCTCTTGGTTTCAGCTCAGGTCATGATCTCACGATCTCATGAGTTCGAGCCCTGTGTCAGGCTCTGCGCTGACAGCGTGGCGCCTGCTTGGGATTTTCTCTCTGCCCCTCCCCCACTCGTGCTTGAACTCACGCTCTCAAAAATAAATACATAAACTTTTTTTTTTTTTTAATCTTAAAACAGAAACCTCTCCCTGTTCCTTTCCACCTCCCTGCTAGCTGGGATGTACATGTACCAGCGGGAGCTGGAGTAGCCACTTTGGACAGGGAGACAAGGGATCGCTGGGTAAAGACAGACAGCACAGCTGTACTGACTACCCGGCACTTCCCACCTCTGGACCGGAGAGAAATCACCTTCTACCTTGTTTAGGAAACTGATTTTTGTCGGTCTTTTTGTAGAACAGTTCACCATCTAACCGATAAAAGCAAAAAACGTAACTTAATGTCTCAACCCTGGTCTTCCTGGTTCCCCTTCATCGGCCACACAGTAAGAATACCGTTCTGAGTGTACTAGGTGCACACACGGGGCACGCGACTCACTCCTTTCCCCATCATTTTTACACCCGTGGTGGCAGACGCTTGGCGTGGTTTTAAACCTTGCCCTCTTACTTAACGAGACAGTCTGGTTACGGATCTACCTCAGCCCTCAAGAGCCACGTCCCTTTTTAAATAGTTCCATAGTATTCCATCGTGTGGATGTATGGTAATTACTTAACGAGCTCTGTGGATGGACTTACTCTTGATTCGACGTAGGTAGGCCTCATCCTCTGTCTCAATCAGTGGGAAGTCCTCTCTGGATGGGCATCTAGAGGGGTAACAGGTCGGGTGGGGTTGAGGGATCAGGAATCGGCCGCCTTTCCATGCTCTCTGCTTCTCCGGTAAGAGTCACCAGCCCCAGGCCCTGGCTTTAGTCACTCCTGACCCCCTGCTTTCCTTCACACCCATCATCTGTCTGTACTGGTGTGTGTGTTACCTCTCCACAGGCCACCTGCAGGGGGGCGCCATGAGCACGGGCAAACACAGGCTTTGGCGTTAAGCAAACTGGGCCCAGATCCTGGTCCCACTATTTACCGGGTGGTAATCTCTCCATTTCTCCTCTGAAAAATGGGTCTATCTTCTTCACAGGTTTTTTGATAGAATTAAATGAGATAACGTAACAGTGCTTTGAACAAGGCAAAAGCTCAATAAATCGATTACAAAAAGTAACATTAATTCTAATTTTCACAACTACAAATACGAATGCTGTTAATAAAGAGGCCCCCAGGGATCTACTGTCAATGGCTCAGGTGTTTTGCACTTTTCCCAGAACAGGCAATGTCCTACTTTTGCACGTTTTTGAAAAATTTGTTCAAAAGTCTAAATTGCCGAAGTAAACAAAAGGTTATATATTACAAAGTAAAGAAAATCCGGTTCTAAAAGCAAAAAAAATTTACAAATATCCTTATTGGGTTTATCTTTTGGCATCATCTTCAAGGACCCATTCTGAAATTTTACATGCGTTTTGTTTTTTGTCATCATAAAAGACACGGCACTGCTGAGGACATCAACTCTAACGTGTGTCTAATGGAAGCTGGAGGTTGGCTGAGGTAGCACACTGAGCAATTTCCTTCTTGCCCGGCCCGTACGAGGTGCGTGCATGAGACTTACTCCTCTCACCTCCAGGATCAATGGTTTCGTTCCCTTTTTCATTCAGTTTTAGAAAATAAAAATAAAATGCAATCCAATCCAAGTAACAGTTCACTGCCTACAGACCGGGGTGTTCATGCAGCTTAAACTGTACTGTGGGCCATCAGACAGGCCACCATAGGGTTAGGGGTTAGGGTTAAGGGTGAGGGGTTAGGGGTTGCGGTTAGCAGTTAGGGTTTGGGGTTAGGGTTAGAATTAGGGGTTAGGCATTGGGGTTGCGGTTAGGGGTTAGGGTTCGGGGTTAGTGACTGGGGTAGGGGTTAGGAGTTAGGGTTAGGGGTTAGTGGTTGGGGTAGGGGTCAGGGGTTAGGGCTAGGGGCTGGGGGTTGGGGTATGGTCAGGGTTAGAGTTAGGGGATGGGGGTTGGGTAGGGTCCGCTCATCATCGGGGTTTCGGGTCTGGGTTCAGTTTAGGGGCAGGGGTTAGTGTCCAGGGTCAGGGCTCAGGGGTTAGGGGTCAGGGTTAAGTCACAGCTTCAGCTCCAAGTGGTGCTTTGTCAGCTCACGTTGCTGCAAGGTGTCCCAGGTTGTCTTAATAGAAAATACAACTGTACAGGATACGTGAACACGGGTGACCATTCTGGCTTTGGGCCATCGTGTTTCTCCCCCCAGCCTGTGCCTCCACCCCTCAACCCCGGGTTCTTTCCCCCAGGGAGGGTGTGCTGTGGCCCAGGTCCTTCGGCTGCAGGTTTCCCGCGGACGTGCACACACTCACACGCGCACGCTCTGCTGAATAACTCGGATCCAGGTGCTGCGGTCATCCCGGGATGCTGTGTGGACCTCATACATCTCAGGGGGTGCCGCGCTGATCAGAAACATCCCTTTCTCCTGGTTGGCGATGTCCCGTACAATCAAATTCTGCAGTGATACCACCGAGGGCTTGTCCTGCCAGTCAGAAAGGGGCAAATAAGGGTATCTCGGTCTTCAATCTTTCCGGAATAGCCAAAGGATTGAGGGGCCAGCCTGCAGTACAGGGCACAAAGCTGTGGTGCAGCCAGAGGGGACTTTAGGAGCGCACATGACTTCTGACAAGTCAGTTAACTTTAATGTTTATTGGGGGCCCGGATGGCTCAGTCAGAAGAGTGAGCTACTCTTGAGATCAGGGTTGTGGGTCCAAGCCCTGCCCATGCTGGGTGCAGAGATTACTGATAAATAAATAAACTTAAGAGAAAAAACACATAAAAAAACACCTTAAAGGCTTACTTTCCCCATCTGCAACAAGGGGATTAATAATGGACCTCCTGACAGTGTAAAAGAGCCTGCACGCAGTGACCATACATGTTAGCTGTTTTTATGCCTTATGAGATATTACAGTAATGGTTACAGTAATAGCCATTTGACTCCGGAAGATTCTAGGGTTCTTTCCGGGTCGCATAGAAAAGGAAGAAGAACCCATAGCACTAGTCTGTGCTGAGGAAGGGGAAGGAGCAAGTTCTCACCAGGGCAGGGAAGATGTACTTCTGGTCCTTCTCCTGGAGGAACACCAGTACGTCTGTCATCAGCAGCATTAGCACATCTGGGCAGGGAGAGAGGTGGGAGAGCGGCCAGCCTCAGAGGCAGGGGAGAGGTGGGAGAGCGGCCAGCCTCAGAGGCCTGGGCGGCCGCTTGCCTCCTTCTCAGGAACCAGGCCCAACGTGTCCACTCAGGGCTCCTGCCTCTGTTCCTTCCGGTTGCTTCCTCTTACCTTTGCGGCCTCCCACCCGCCCATTCTTACACCTCAGAAATGCCAGGGGAGGGACGCCTGGGTGGTTCAGTCAGTTAAGTATCTGACTTCGGCTCAGGTCGTGATCTCGCGGTTCAGGAGTTCGAGCCCCGCATCGGGCTCTGCGCTGGCAGCTCAGAGCCAGGAGCCTCCTTCGAATTCTGTGTCTCCTTCTCTCTCTGCCCCTCCCCTGCTCATGCTCTGTCTCTCTCTCTCTGTCTTGCAAAAATAAATAAAATGTTAAAATAAAAAAAAGAAAAAAGAAACGCCAGGGGAGAAGAGGCACGTGCCACCAGATCAAACAGCCTCCCGGCTAGGGAAGACTACAGGGGGTCACCAGTGCCTCTGAAGGAAACTGATGCTGGTTTCTTAACCCAGGGATGACAGACCCCAGGATGTCTGCTGCTGGTCTTTAAGGGGTTCTGCAAACCTTCTGAAGTCGCAAAAGCAATTTTACGTGTTAATACAACACAGATGTGTATTTTCTGGGTGAAAGAGTCCAGACTTTTGGGGGAGGGCAAAAAGCATCCCCAGAGCAGGACGGGCCACCCTTTTTCAGCCTTTAAACTCCACGCCTTGGGGCACCTGGGTGGCTCAGTCGGTCGAGTGTCTGATTCTTGATCTCGGCTCAGGTCGTGATCTCGCTATTCGTGAGTTCGAGCCCCGCGTATCTGGTTCCATACTGTCAGTGCGGAGCCTGCCTGGGATTCTCTCTCTCTCTGCCCCTTCCCTGCTCTCTCTCTCTCAAAACAAATAAAAGTTAAAAAAGTACATATATTTAAATTCTATGCCTAGCAACCAACATAAGGGTTTTTAGGCTATCTGACCTCAAATCCCCCTGCCTGGCACATTCCCAGTGCTCGAGGGGCAGGGCGCAGGAGGACGTCACATCCACCTCTCCCACAGCTGAATAATCCCATCTCCCTCCACCCCAGAGGCCTCCTTCTTTGTCCTTCTCTGTCCCACCTTCCAGCCACTCAGATCCTGAGTCCTAGACTTTAGCAATGACGGGGAAACAAAAGGTCAAGTCTCCAGAACTCAGATGTCACAGTCAAAAAAACACACGCTCACCCTTTGCCCTTGGAGATCTTACTAAACTGTGGGCACACAGAGGGGAGGGCTTTTGCTAAATGCTTCAGAAATAAAGCTCTCCAGCCTTGCTATTTTTAACCCCCACGGTTTATATTCTTAGCTGCTGCGTGGGAGGGATGGAAAAGAGGGAAAGGGATGAAGACAGGCGCGGTAGGCACAGCAGTCCCCCAGCCTGTGCAGTGGGGACTTCATGACATGAGACACAGACTCAGGCCCAGGGAGCAGGTTCCCTCATTCCTCACCCCCAAAGCCGAGGCCTGCTACTCTCTCTGCCTTGCTTTAGGTAGGAAAGGCTTGGCCTGTGTGGTCTGGGAAGAGAGGCTGGGACGG